GTTTTTATACTCCAAACCGTGTACAAGTTTTTATACTCCAAACCGTGTACAAGTTTTTATACTCCAAACGTTTCAGAGACCAGCGAGGCTTTTGGTCTACGTTTGAGGATTCACATCCAAGCAGGTAAAACTTTCAGAACAATCACTCGAGCAGTTTTCACGAGATGCTTGTAGAAATAAAACCTTTGGCCAAATATAAGGCTAGACCCGAGGCTGCAGGATTACCAAGGCTCCCAGACGTCAGCTGACCATGTAAGAAAAGTACCGGCCCGTAGAACCAACACCGAAAATCACCGAGTCAGGCTGAGGGGTCCATTTAAAGCAACGAACTGTTCATTGCCTCATTGTTTTCTTAACACTGTTAATATTTCAATAAGGTTTACAACATGGGCGGCTAATCCTGTGGTGCCATCAGAAACTGAACCCGTTTCACGTAAATTAAATCCAGTGGTTTGAAAATTAATTTCACTGAATCAATTTGCTCTGAAACTGAATTTGGTTGGATCGACTCCTTTCGTTTTCAGTTCTACAGTTCAATTCCAAAATTCAGTTTTTTGCGTCGCACATCCGAGTCCTTGAGAAAGTCCCGGAGTAATCGAACGCAGACCGACAGATTTAAGTTCCACGTCGGCGAAACTTCCTTTACGGAAACGTAGGCGTGGGGTTGAGTGTTCAGGAGGCGGCAGAACACGCAAGAAGAAGAAGAAGAACTTCCTTTATGGTGTATTTTGAGGTGGAGCAGTGGCGTGCACGCGACTTCATGCCACTGCTCCACCTCAAAACACACCATAAAGGAAGTTCTTCTTCTTCTTTGGTGTTTACGATGGATTGCGTCCACTCCGTTTCATCACCACTTGAATTATAGAACTGAAAATGAAAGTCAAACTGAAGTTTCAGTTTCAGTTCAGTGGATTTAATTTCAAATTACGTGAATTCAGTCCGAGCGATTCAAATTCAGTTTGACGGCACAAGTTTCTGCACACATTATTATTATTATTATTATTTTGACCAAATGCTGCGGTGAAGTCCGAGCCGTTAGAGCCACAGTCCTGCCCTTCCTAGTATAAAAAGTTTTAAAGTTTCACTTGTCATTTTCACACGTTAAAAACATTAAAGTAACTTGAGGATCAAAATAAACTCAGGTTTTCTTTAATGCGACGTAGATCTGCTGGGACATCAAATACGAGATGACATAATTTGAATTATTCTGATGTTCCTATGGTTCGTAATCTGCAAGTTTGTGCTGAATAAAATGCAAAAGAATGCAAATACTGGATTGAAACACTGCGTCGGCTAATCCTTATTTTAAAACACTCGTATCAGTACCGGAGACAAAAAGAAATCTTGATCAGGACTTCTGTAAAATATATTGAATCAAATTATTAGAAACACTTTACATTAAGTCGTGCTTCAAGTCAGTTTACAAAAAAAAAAAAAAGGCTTTTTGTCTAATCCATGCGTTTAGTTTTAGATCTAACAGTCTGTTTCGTAGCGATTGGAACAATCCTAAAATATTTAAAATAATTGTTGAGGCTGCATCAGAACTGTTTTCTGCTTCTGAAACCTCAGGGTTAGGGATTACGGGTCAGGGTTTAGGGTTAATCCAGTCTTCTACATGTGGAGCTGAACCTGCACCACATACGAACCACTTCCTGCGTTTTATTTGGTAAACGCTCGTTTTAATCTTTAATTGCCACGGGGCAGATGGTTAACGGAGCCTCGTTTTGTCCCGATTTGTTGGTGCAGGGACTGAAGAACGGGTGCACGGTGTCTGGAAAACTATCTGTGAATGAGAAGATGAGCAGCTTGGCCTCCACGTTGTAGAACGACACCAGGCCTTTATCACAGTCCACATAGATCCCAATCCGAGAGGGTCTGACGCCGACCGTCAGGGGCGTCGAGGGATCTGTTCGGAAGGCGAAGTCGGTCCGATCCCGCAGGCTCAGGAACCAGTAGCCGTGGGCGGGGCTTACGTTGATTTTACCCCTTCGATTAACGGACCGGCTCGCCACTCCCAGGTCCCAGTCCGTCTTTCCTGCGACGTCGACCTGACGAGGAAGGAGACAAACGGGTCAACGACTTTAAAACGATCGGATGAACCTCGATAGGTCCATCCATCAGCGTACAGATTGATCATTTATTGATTGAAAACAGACTGCTGTTGCAGACTTTGTATTAAATTAATCTATTTCCTCAAATTTGGAATAAAGCTGCAACATAAAATGTGGAAAAAGTGAAGCGCTGTGAACTTTCCAGATGCACTGGATGACCTATACGCCCATTTTATATAAAAGTGTGATGCGTTTGTAGCCGAGAGTCATTTAAAATGTTTAGTCCAAGTGCTACACATTGTTCAACATCAGAAGTTTTCAGCATTAACTGTTGGAGTCATTACCGTTTGTCTGTTAGCAAAATATTTCAAAAACTTCTAGGCAGACTTCAGTGAAACTTTAAGGAAGTAGTCAG